ATACTGTATATTTATTATAAGCTTAATTAACGCTAGTATTGAACTACTAGAAATTCTATTGGTTATGGGCCATAACTTATGGCATAACAAATATCATAATTGATTTCAATGTTGACTCTAATTATCATCAAAAGTGATTGAAAAGCTACCGGTTTAGAAGTTTTTAATATAATAGTACAAATTGGTATATTTGTAGAGAATATTTGAAAAGAATTTCATTTGAATTTTCTTTAAATAAAAATAAATATATCGTATTGTAGATTCTATGGTGCACTGTATAATTTATTATATAAAATTATCACATCTCTTTCAAACTAGCTATATTGTGAGTAATGTACAAATATTAGGAATTACAAATACATTATTATATAATATTCTATTAACTAATGCAAATTCCTATTCAGTATTTCTTATAAGAAATATTCATAAATAAATTCATATCGGATCTTGTTAATATTACTTTATGAAATCTTAACATTTCATATACAATTGTTAAAATATTATTAACACTACTTACCAACTATACTAATTTACTAATTACTAACCTATACAAACGGATTATTCAATGATTGTTTTCTTTGACAAAGTAAAAGTAATGTAAATTGTGATTATAAACCCTTATTTTTATTTTTTGTTAAAAAACGGTTATTAATCTAACTCTACAACATTCGTGAGTTAGTTACATAACAGTTTATTACTGTTTACCCTAAGGGTTCAAAAGCTCTTTAATTTACAGAATATTCTGTTATAAATGCATTTATAAACCGCTATAAATATACAGATTATGTAATGATTTGAAATAAACGTAAGTATTTAATTTGTTGTTTAAAAATTAAATTTATAATTATTATGAAACAACAAATTTCAAAGACATAATTAAACATAAATTTTAATAATAATGCAAATTAGATATCGATATTTTCGAAAACATTAAGAAATGTCATAATTATTATGTTTATTCATAATTCAATTGAATGATTATATAACAAATGACGAGATTTGAACAAATATTGACTTATTTTGAGAAATATTTGCCAAAAGATAAGGAAATAATATAAACTAGTATTGATTTGTGGCACAACTAATATTGACTGAAATATAAATATAAATAAATCTAAAATGAGTAATCAATTTGAGGAAATTGAGTATTGATTTAAAAGTGGTGTTAAATATAAATATAAATGAGGAAACAATAGACAATAAGTGTTTGCAAACTTACATACTTACTTACTCACTTTACAGTAAATTTACAGAGTTTGGACATGGAGTGTATACTACGTATGTATGTAACGTAAGTAATATTTGTAATGATAGTTATAACTGTAAGTGACTGTCGATTGGTTAGCATTAGTGTCCATGTCTTGGATCAAGACAAGGATGTGTTTGTGTTGAAGACAATGAAGACAATTAAAGACAAACCATTAGATGGTTGTTGCGATGAGAGTGCCGTCAATATGAACAAAATGAGTGATTTCTGTAACTTATGGACCATTACTTAGCATTGGATTCACATATAAACCACAGATTGATGATTGAATGGATTGAAGGGTTGTGACCAGAGTTGGTGCCGAAGTGCCGATAGTAGGAGTGATAGTGGATTGCCATCAGACCATCAGAGTTGCCATCTTTGCCAATGACGACAACACATACAGACATAGAGACAGACAGACAAACAAGTAGTCGAGTAGTCGAGCGCTGACTGACTGACAAGTGCTTCACTGCTCACACACACCGACTACTGTTCACTCCATGAACGAACATAGGCTATACTTCACATCCCATTCCCCTCAGGCTATATCACAAACAATTGAATAGATTTTGCAAATTCATTTCTATTTTTATTTACCAAAGTAATCAAAATATAATTCAATTTTATTTTGGCTTTAATTGTTTTTTATAATTAGTTTTCACTACAATATACCGGTGCTCTACACACCGATACTTAACAATACAAACACTGTTATGAGATTTGGTTCACAGGATTGTGTGATAAGTTGTCATAACTTTATATAAAATAACTATTTTTATATTTTAATTGTATATCAAATAAATTGTAGAATTGATTATAAAATATCATATCATATAAAATTAAAAATCATTTGTATTTATGTTTTAAAACCCTTTCCCAAAACAATCGGTTATTTTGAGCCATACATAGGCCTATAGTTTAGCCTTAATTTGAGAAAAAAGTTTTTCGGCTTTCATTGCGAGGCTTTATAACGGAAACTAAAACTCAAACGGCCTGTACTTTCGCAACCAGCCAAACCAGAGAGGAAACCGGTAGAAGAGCTTGCAGAGCAGTAGACACTACTCTCAGTGCAGTCGCGACAGACAGAGGGCCTTCTCCACTCTGAGCGGTCGGGAAGTGTGGGCATCGATGAGCCAACTCTGACCCGATATGACGAACGCCAGCACAGCGTTGATGTCTTTCCTCAACTCGTCGTTAATCACGGATTTTATTCCTTCGAAAATTCTATCCGTTTTGCCAACACTTTGCTGTCCGGAAGCCTCGCCACTCTTAGGGACGGGAATATTCAACACATTGTCTCCTTTGTTCAGCTGTTCCTCAGGCAGGAAGAAGTCTAGCATCAGAGCACTGCCCGGTTTCACAGAATACTGTTCCAAGTCTTGAATGCCTTCACTGCGCAGAAAGTCCTCGTCTATCACGAAGTTTCCGGAGAAGGACTTTGAGTTCTTGGAGAGTATGCCGTACGCAGAATCGGCCAAAATGTCGACCTTTCGACAACTGTTAGCCATTCCCGGATCTCCCGCACCAATCATACTCATAGCCGCCGTCCAAATGGCAGTTCGCGGCCAAAGAGCGTTCACAGCAATGCCATCCGGTTTGAACTCAGAGGCCATTCCCAGGACACACATAGACATACCATACTTGGCCATCGTGTAGGCCACGTGATTCTCAAACCATTTGGCAGTCATCACCAGCGGTGGACTCAGATTCAGAATATGAGGATTAGATGCCTTCTTCAGGTGAGGGATGGCATACTTGGAGGCCATGTAAGTGCCTCTCGTGTTGATTGAGTGCATTAAGTCATACTTCTTCATCGATGTCTGTTCCGTGCCTTTCATACCAAACCCAACAATCAATGAATGAATGCATTGAATGACAATAACTTGTATCCCAAATACCTGTCAAACTGATGGCACTGGCGTTGTTGACCAGTATATCGAGACCTCCAAACTGTTTGATAGTCTTCTCGAAGGCACTCTTAACCGACTCTTCATCCCTGAGGTCGCACTGAATGGNTGATAATTAGAGTCAACATTGAAATCAATTATGATATTTGTTATGCCATAAGTTATGGCCCATAACCAATAGAATTTCTAGTAGTTCAATACTAGCGTTAATTAAGCTTATAATAAATATACAGTATATTATATAAGTATACAATTTTGCTTTATTAAGTTGTATAAAGTTATACCGGTATAAATTAAAAGTAAAATATGAAATAGTATAAATTATAGTATTATACTGTATAATTATATAATACCTGTATTAGAAATATATACAGATCGTACACGGTAAATATATACATATTTATATGTATTATTTAGTTTAGGAAACAGTGAATACCGGAATCATTAATATTTCTCAACACACTTAATCCGGACCATTTAAAGAAATATTACCGTTAATGCCAACTAATTAATTGCTAAAAACATGAAAATTAAGACTCAGATTATCTATTGAATAGATTTTATCATTAGATGATACTAATGCCTCCAATTATTTGAAACATTGTAACTTAATACAGCAATAGTAATTTATTGTTTCTATTGAAACCAAAAGTTAAAATTACATAAAATGAGTTAATTGTGATTTTGTTTTTGAGTCAAATAAGAGAATAAGATTATGGAAAGGATGACAAATATATTGTTTGACCAAATATTTCTTTAAAGGTTTGCCCAAAATGTGTTCAATTCTTACAAGAGTTGTACTCATTTGAGGGGTCATGTGGACAGTCAGTAGTGAACTGTAGTAAACAGTATGGTATAAGGGATGACATGATTGATGAATTCTGTACAACTTTTACTCTAACATTTGGTGCGATTATTATATTATAGGACTTTTGGTCATATCGTATCCCAATCTTAGTGACCATTCTATGAATGGGGTCCATCAGCACATGTGTGCATCCATTCGCTTATTATAGCCAACTGTGCCACAAATATATGACTGCAATCATAATGTTTAGTTATGTCATCACAAATAGCATATAAATTGAAAGCAAGTCTTGATGGTAGACATGATCGCATGGATGCACTCGTGGCACAGCATAACATGCCATCAATCGGTCAATCGATAAGTTCTTCTACTTTTTGTTTGTCTCCCATTCTTGCCATACATTTATGTGAATACCTTATCGTTGTTTCGATGCTTTAAAGCGCTATTATATATGCCTTTGAGATCAATACTACTGTTGAGACTTTAAATTCAATTCTATTGTATTGTTGTGTAAATGTTGTACTTTTTCATCATATTTTGCATTATTTGTTAACATTTTGTTTTTTACTCTTTTCTCTAAAGAAATGCTAAATAATAGACTCTTTTTATCAAATAAGGCATTCATTTAAACCAAAACATTAACAGTTCATTACCATTGACTTGTACTCACTTTGTGCAGCCCTTTCATCCCTTGCATCCAATGCTAGAGTTAATGTTGAAGACGCCAAGAGATGCTCTCATTTCTCACTTTAATGTATATTATATAGAGCTCTGATGGCAAAAGTCTTATATTTATGTGATGTTCACTCCATTATCTCATTATTCTCTTCCCTCTCATTCCTACTCCTCATCTATTGATTGACACAAATTTGACTTATTTTTGATTAACAGTTGTCGGACATCATTACACTATTAGATGAGTTTGCTTTCATTCTTCACTTTTTTGTTTTTCTCGAGTATCACATCCAAGTGACCACTCATCCCATTAGTCTTATAATAGATAAACTGCACTCATATTACACTTATGCTCCACTTAAACATTTTAAGCATTTAGAAAATCTTAGATCAACTTATTGTAAATAATTCTCACACATCTACTCACAATCACTTTTTATCTTATGCTTTAATTGAACTCATTATTTTTTAACCATATTGATTTTCATTAATAATTTATTCGTTTTTGCAATTGTTTATCTATTGCAAGTTTGACGACCTTATTTTTATTACCTTGCTCATATTAAAGGTACCGACAGTTTATTTATATATTAAAATTTATAAGAGTTGACACAACCTTTATATGATATTAATTTATAAATGAGGTTTTAAAGTAGCGATTTAAAGTAGCATTTATTTCATTTATCGCTATATTCTTCGCATTTTACTTAACACTTGCTTTTCAAGCTCTCTCTCTCTCTCTCTCTCTCTCTCGTCGCATGTATTAACAAAAATATTATTCATATAATGCGAGCCATTAATACCATTAATCAAAATATTTTGTTAATTAATATTTCTCGAGTATCACATCCAAGTGACCACTCATCCCATTAGTCTTATAATAGATAAACTGCACTCATATTACACTTATGCTCCACTTAAACATTTTAAGCATTTAGAAAATCTTAGATCAACTTATTATAAATAATTCTCACACATCTACTCACAATTACTTTTTATCTTATGATTTAATTGAATTCATTATTTTTTAACCATATTGATTTTCATTAATAATTTATTCGTTTTTGCAATTGTTTATCTATTGCAAGTTTGACGACCTTATTTTTATTACCTTGCTCACATTAAAGGTGCCGACAGTTTATTTATATATTAAAATTTATAAGAGTTGACACAACCTTTATATGATATTAATTTATAAATGAGGTTTTAAAGCAGCGATTCCGACATTTATTTCATTTATCGCTATATTCTTCGCATTTTACTTAACACTTGCTTTTCAAGCTCTCTCTCTCTCTCTCTCTCTCTCTCTCTCTCGATTAATAACTTAGGATGCTATATTTTAATATATTTAACTAGTTTTATATATTATATAAGAGTTAAAATATCTAATTGTAATTATCATTAGAATAATCATTGAATCATTTACGTTATGTTTTGGGTTATTAAAAACTGAAAGATTTTACGTCAAATTTTATTCGACATGTGTTTCTATACTATAATATGTAATTTTAAATTACTAATTTATATTATAATTTTATGCAAACTTGTACAGGCTAATATCCTATGACTTTTATATTTACACATTAAAATAAATAAAGTAATTTTAAAATGTTTGATTTGTGGAGCTGCCCGGTATATATTAGATATTCAACTCTAACATCCTTAATGACTTGGATTTGCACATAAAATCAAGAATGTATTGCATTTTCAGGTTAAGTGTAAATTAGAGCCACTATATTAGGCTTAAAAGTGATAGCCCATCATTGATAGATCTATCAATTAATTTATTTTTTAATACATGTTGAGTATCATGATCGTTTACTTGAATTCACGTTTAAATTGATTTTCAATGAATCAAGTGAACAAATAGTCAATATTTGGTATAATATAGTGAGTCTTAAAATCACATCATTTTGTCGTCAATTGAATCATTTACGTTATGTTTTGGGTTATTAAAAACTGAAAGATTTTACGTCAAATTTTATTCGACATGTGTTTCTATACTATAATATGTAATTTTAAATTACTAATTTATATTATAATTTTATGTAAACTTGTACAGGCTAATATCCTATGACTTTTATATTTACACATTAAAATAAATAAAGTAATTTTAAAATGTTTGATTTGTGGAGCTGCCTGGTATATATTAAATATTCAACTCTAACATCCTTAATGACTTGGATTTGCACATAAAATCAAGAATGTATTGCATTTTCAGGTTAAATGTAAATTAGAGCCACTATATTAGACTTAAAAGTGATAGCCCATCATTGATAGATCTATCAATTAATTTATTTTTTCTATGTACAACTCATAGTACTAGCAAATGAACTTAAGTGCAAATTTAACTAAAAGTTACTTAGTTCACTTGTTTATCAGTTATAAACCATATTATATCACTCAGAATTTTAGTGTAGTAAAACAGCAGGCATCCAATGCTTGATTTGCCATAAGAAAAGACATGGAGTGTAGGACTACTGTACAGTAGAATCGATAGGAACTGCACTGACAGGCAGTCACTGATTTTGGTGCAAACCCTGACATGTATTTAGCCTAAGGTTCATAATAATAGATTTACATTTTCTTGCTTCATATATAACTTATAAAAAAGTTTATGGCTTCCCTTATCACTACTTTCATCTCATTTATTATAAGACAAATATTTTAAAAACTAACACTTTCTATGCTTTTCTTTAGTGTTTGCTTTCGCATAATTAATACGAAAGTCAACCCAAATGTCATATCTTTGTAATATATCTCATGAAATACATTAGAATTAAATACATTAGAATTCAACAATAAATAAATATATAATAATATTATCTACATGTACTATTTTAAATATTAAAAGTTTATCAATATACTGTAGTTTTACCAATTTAATTATCTTTTAAATATTTTTTTTAAAGAAATCTAAAATAAATAATAAGAAAAATAAATAAAAATGAAAAACGAATTACATTAATATCAAACTTAATATTGAAAGATACTATACTGGATATCCTACAAATTCACTATAAATCATAATTTGTATTTTGTTTAGTGACGGAACCATCGAATAATACATTGGAACTGACAGTGAATTCCCATCTTTTAGTAAATTGTAGTAAATTAGAGCTCTTTTGTAAAATCAAAGACAACTTTAACTCAAATTTAAACATTTGGTGGACTTTTCGTAATCAAAATATTAGTCAATCATCGGATATAATAGAGAGCTATAGTCACAGCTCCGGTGCCACCAATCACTCGAAGCTATCGGTCGAATGCGCGGCTCAGACCGTTCACGACGGGCTCTATGTGTGATGCATTTTAAAACTAATAATGCAATATTATCTACATATGTGTATACAGTATTTTACTGTAGAATAAGAATATATTCTTAAATATAAAGTACATTTCTATTATATTCATAGTTTGATTTTATAAACCAAACACATAAAACTGAAAATTAAAAACATTGTTTAAGATGTTAAAATATTGCATGCAAAATTTAAGATTTAGAATTTTTGTTTATTAAAAATCTAATAACCAGAATATTCTTATGATATTTGGAAATAATTATAACAGGAAATAAATTCTATTTGACTGAAAATTTAATAAAATTTTAGATATTGAAATAAAAATACAAACATTGGTTACCCTTTTGACCCCGCATTCATACTTCAGGGCAGTGCACTACACATACAGTACAATAGTTTTTCAGTTACTGTATAAATATCACCTAGCAGTAATACAAATAGCAATAACTTAATGTTTTAAGTACACAATATACAGTCATTTCCAAATATCAAATATCACTTTTGGTTATATTTTAGAGGTTTATTTAAATATTTCATATTATTTGATTGAAATCTCTTTAGAAACCTAATTCATCAGTGCCACTGATTCAGTGGTTATTTAAACAAACAGGATTTTATTGCATCAATTAATTGCCACTGAATTAAAAAAATAAAAAAATT